TTGAGATATTGACCCGTAATCTAACTGTGCTACTGTTATTATACAAAGTCCGGCCTGACTGTGTCGACATATAGATGAGCTTGGTTGACGTTTTAGTGTAAATGTTTTTCTCTCTCTTCATAAACTAAGCCAATCTATTCACTTACTGAAGGCACATCCTTTCTGAGCCACTACCTGGTCAAATGTCTTTTTCTTTTTTCTTTTTTTTTGCGGGCCACTAATACCGTTCTCAGCAGGTATTTATCTTGGTCTGCCCGTTGGAGCGCTTCCAGGTCACAGAGATGCATTAGTCGGATGTCAAGTGTAATTTTCATCCCAGAAACTGCCTCCTGGATGCTGCGATCATTTTCTGTAGAACGGAGCCAAAGAGGGGCGAATCTGAAAAATGTCAGCGGGGTCAGAAAAATGACATTTCGAATGTTATTTGAATTCTTGTAAACAGCTTAAATGTTCAATACAGAGAGATAAATCGTGGCATAAAAGGATAGATGTTTTATTTGGTTATTTAAGCAATAAGGAAATATTGTTTGCTGCTTTATGTCCACAGTATGTGCATGCTTGCTTTGCTAAATGTCAATATAACCATTATTACACTGTATGGATACAGTAGATGTAATTGAAAGTCATTGATTGTTTTTAGGGACACAGCGTCCTTTCGAAGCAGAATATGAATTTTTATAGTACCCATAATCTACTGTGGGACTGGCCACTGCATTTATCACTGCATTAAATCAGTTTGTGCAGTAAACAAAGGCAAACATTTAAACAAAACTGTACAAGGGGGGGAAAGAAAGAAAGAAAAAAAAAAAAGAAAGCCTGCTGTGCTCACCCACAGATTTCTCTGCAGAGGACATCAGCCCACGCCGCCGTAAATCCACAGGAACATTAGTCCAGCGGCACCGCTCAGCAGCCAGCTGATCTAAATGTCGCAGGATGAATGCGTGGTCGTTGGTGTGATGCTGCTGTTATCGCACTGGTGGATCCCATCGCAGTTGTTAGGATGGAACCGTCTTTTACAGCCTTCAGAAGACAGTTGATAAAGTCATAACTTTATCTTCACAAGTGTATTTTTTGTCATTTTTATGTGAACCTGTGTTTCATGTTGCAGATCTGTGTATCACCTGACTCAACTGTGTGTGCCACATCTGATCGAGACCAAAGGCTCCATCGTCAACGTATCCAGCGTCAATGGACAGAGATCGGTGAGTGTTATGCATCTGGACTCTATATTTCAGCAGCACAGTCCACGTGTAGTGTGTTTTTTTAGATACTGTATATTAAGAGGTGTGATTTCTCTCTCTGCAGTTCCCTGGTGTTTTGGCTTATTGCATGTCCAAGTCAGCCATTGACCAGTTCACACGTTGTATAGCACTTGGTGAGTTGAGCCATTTTATCCTGTCAAAGTTCAAAAGAGCACTTTAGCACAAAATATCACCCACCTGCTTTTTATTTCAGAGCTGGCGTCAAAGCAAGTCCGAGTGAACTCTGTCTGGTACGTGAAATAAACATTTTATAGCTGCACGAGTTCACGTTCACATTCCTCCTCATTCTTTATGTAGTTTATGTGCCATTTGATGTGATGGTGACTGATGGCGTTGAGGCGGAGGGTTTCTCGTGTACTGTTTGATATTACTGGTTTCATCCCTCCAGTCCTGGTGTGATCATCACAGACGTCCACAAGAGAGCAGGGCTGGATGAGGAGCAGTACGCTCAGGTAACACATCAGGATAATGTATGTTGACACTTTATGTGCAGGAAAGCTGTGGCATCTTGGTCATTCATTTTAAAAGTCTCATATAGTGGACATCTCTTTTTATTGTGGTTGTTGGTAAAAACCTTAATATACAGAGACATTTTCTACTGCCATCCCCACAACTAGATAGCATCCCAACTTACAAGCCCATCATAACTTTCCTGAGCTGTTTGCCAACTTATAAATCAATAGCCGTCTACTCAGACTTTGTATGATCCCTTCTTTCTAAGGCTGCTTCTGCTAACTCTAAAATGCCTTAACCACGAGCAAAACACACCAAATGTTCTGCTGTTGGCTGCAAGAGTGAACAAAAAAGTTTTTGTGCACTCCCAGCATCTGAGGAACTGAACATCTAGTGGATCACTTGATGGCAATGCAACCACAACAATCCTTATTGTTCGTGTGTTGTGCTGCTAATAGAATAGAATAGAATGCTTTTTATTGTCATCATACACAAAGTACAACAAAATTAAAATGTGGCTATCATTACTATTAGCTCTGGTCAGACAGTGTTTATGTCTGTTGGCTTCTCTCCTGCTCTCTGTGCACACACATATGCTGCCTTTTCATACAACTGACTTTGCAATAAATCTGTTTTTATTTCCTTGTTTTACTCATTTTGTTGTCAGGCAACAAGGCGAGTGTGAAACTGACTGAAAGCACCACTTTAAGACGACATGTTAACAGACTGTCACTTCAGAGCTACTCCCAAACTGCACCAATAAAGTGCTGTTTTTCATTATCTAACACACTCGTCATACACTTGATTTCTAAATGAATAGCTGAGCTCTGAATTCAGCTGTGATCTCTCAGAGAGATGGCTAGAAGCGATGGAAAGTACTCAGGGCTGTACTATGAAGCGAGATGAGTGGGTTAGCGAGGTTTGTTGAGCTTCAAGTCAGAGTTTTCAGTGTTATGAAGGTGGCTCTCTGTTTACTGCTAGATCTCCATGGTAACTGATGCTGTGGTGCTAACCTGATCAGGTTATGTTCAGAGTTTAGTTGGCGATGCAGAAATCACATAAATAAGTCCATTTGCTCTGCTGGTGCTGCAGCTGATAGAACACTGATGAGAAAATGGATTATTCTGCTGGTATTTATTACAGAGAATATTCAATCAATAACTTTAATTTCACTTTGATTTGGCCAAAAAAACTAAAGAGATATCCTGCATTCTGGGACTGTGTCAGACCTAAATTCACTTCAATACAAGATCATATTTAAATATATTAAGTTTAACTTAAGCTGGCAGTTGGAAATAATCGGCTGCACCGGTAAAATATTCTATATCAACATGTTTAACAGTTTTCTACCAGCATTTCTGTCTTGCACCATTTGCAGTAGCGCTGCTTTTTACCGTCGTAAATCTTTATGTTCCTCAGTGCTCTCCATGAAAACAACATGTTGACTGAAGCAGCTGCACACGATCGATTCATTTGGTTCAGAAGAAGAGTCATGTGACGTGGCGTTAAACACCATTTTTATGTGAACGCGCTCAGAGTGAAGCAGAAAGTCTGAGCTGACAAAGATGATAACCACCTTCATACTCATTAGCCCTGATTGCGGCTTTAATTTTTACACAAAGAAAGCCCGGCTATGTCAAACTTGCTTCGTATTACAGCCCTCTGGTCTCACACACTCATGCAGAGAGAGTCTTCTTCCTGAATGTTGGCGTGGACAACAGCAGCTCAGCTGTATTTAAAGCTACAGGCGCTAAAACAGCCTATTTAGAACATGGATAAAACCAGGAGTCATGCAGTCATGGTGAAATTACCCATTTCGAGCTAAAAAAAAAAAAAAAACACATTCTAAAGACGTGAAATTTCCACTAATTTTCTGAAAAGAGACGCAATATGGGATCATGATCTGTAAAAGCGAAATCATCCCAAACGTCTTGTTTTTATTTCTTCAGACAACTAGCAAATAAATCTAAACATACCCAAAGGATCATCTTTAATTTATTCATTTCTAATCCTTGTTCTGTCTTTTTTTTTGCCACCAGTTTCTTGCCAAGTGTAAGCAGACCCACGCTCTGGGACGGCCAGGCGAGGTGGACGAAGTGGCCCACAGCATCGCCTTCCTGGCATCTGACGCCGCCAGCTTCATCACCGGAGTCAACCTGCCCATCGATGGGGGTCGCCACGCTATGTGCCCGAGATAAATCAACATACGGAAATCTGCTAATATAGTACTTTCAAACTTCAAGTCTGCTTGTGTTTTTGTGTCGCACAAGGCTGCAGTCGGTTTGAACGACTCCCCGACAACACCGCTGTAGCAGGACTTAACATTTCCAGGTGTGAAATGAACAGAAGGAAGCTAAAATTAACTTTATTTCGTCACTTTATGTTTTTTTTTTCCTTCAAAAAAAGAAAACTGAAAGCTGCTTATCAACAGAGGTTTCAAGACTTTTATTGAATTACCTGCTGAGTCATCAAGACTTCATTCACGCTGTATAAAATGCCTGTACAGACCAAACACTGTGAGCTTGTGTACCGTGGTAGTTTAGTGTTGTGTAGTGTAAGAAATCCTCTGAGTTTACAGATTGGTGGGACCAACCATCCTTGCTGCATATTTTCGCCGTAATCTTTAAAGCTCCAAATCACCAAAAACATGAACTGAAAACACGACTTGGACGCCTGGTTTTTGAACTAATCAGAATTTTAAATAATCTTTAAATAGAATCCACCGATAATAAAAGGTTGCATAATTATACATTTACATTTTTGACAAAAAAAAAAACAAACTTAACTTATAGTGTCGGACTCGTACAAAGAATATTGAAAGTGTTAAAATAATACCTTGAAAATATAATTTAAGAAATCGTGGCCTGCATGCGTATTTTACAGTCTTCCCTTTTGAAGCACAGACGAGAGAGTTTATGGTTCGAGTGTCAACTGTTGCAGCACCGGGTGTCACCTCTGGATTTTATCGGGTGAAGGTGTGTTCGCCGTGAGATGAGAGGTGCAGTACGAGGTAGCATCTTGACACTTTTCTCAGTTCATACTGTCGAAATCTTAACAATGAAAAGCACCACACAGCAGTTGTTCGTGTGAAGATATAAACATGGCGTCTCTCAGCACTAGACAGTTCGTAGAGGCTCAAAAAAAAAAAAAGACTCGCCTGGAGACAGTACGTGTGTGTCTGAGGCACACTGTATACCTGAATGAGTGATTTGAAGTTGAAACCGTGTATCCCTAAAGACTGTGAAACAATGACTATTGCACTTTATATTACAATATACAGTACATATACATGTATAAATAATACTTAAAAAAAATTTAAAATAGGTGTTGTTGAATTTGCAGATGTAACTGTTCCATATTTCTGTACAGATCTCTTAAAAAACTTTTTTTTTTTCTTTGCCATCAGACCGTGAAGAAAATATGATACAACATGGTCCAAGAGATGAAAGAGTCGCTCATATTACTTCCTTCCAAAAGGGGCATCCAGCTCTCGAGCAAGTCTCTAAAAAAAAACACCAAAAAACAAAAAAAAAGGAGCTTATGATGATTGTTTTCCATAGGCTGATTAATGCCAGAAGTCTTATCTCTGCAATCCCAATGGTCCGTCTTTATCTGGCGCCCCTCCTGTTTCTGCAGTCCGAGCATATTTTGTGAAAAGAAAGTAGGGAGGGAGAGGTTTGTTGTTCCAGAAAAACCACAGGAGCGTCAGTCTCTCCTCCCAAAAAAAATCCAAAAATCTTCCACGCAGTCCCCCCTTTGAGGGAGTGTTCAGGCCCTTCCACAGGGCCGTTACAGGAAGCACACAGGTCCGACCTCCAGGTGATAGCGCGAGCCGGGCTCCGCAGTCGGCAGGTTGTACACGTCCACGACGGGGAGTAAGTTTGGGTCCTGGCTCTGGAAGATGAAGTGCGTCTGGTGCCAGCGTCCATCTTTGATCTGGAAGGTAGGATTGCATTATGTCACCGTGGCGTCGTCTTTCAGCTACATAGTTCTGCCTTCACCAAATAGAATCAACTGAGAACGGGAAATTAAATAGCAGCTTGGCTGATCTGAATAATGCACCAGTTATTCTGGATGATCCACAGACATCAGTGGGAGCAGCTTTCATTGGAGCTAATTTCTACTAAAGAAACCCAGAGACCTCTGATGATGAGGCCTGTGCGTTATCCAAAGTAACACGGCCGATGTTTATGGGAAAGCTCGTGCTGTTTGGTTTTTTGATGCTGGGATGCACTACATAGGGTTGAAAATATTAGAGCTACCATAGATACGACAGAGCCACTTCAAGATCACCCAGGATTTTTTTGACGACTACTTTTGCTGTACGTTTTCATATTATGCTTTACATTCCTTCTGATCCACATGAACAGTTGCTGTGTTTGTCCAGTCCAGTTATAATGCACGGGCAAACTCCGCAGATCCTACAGAAAGGATGTGATATTTGCATTTACCCCTCATTATTCATTTTAAAATGCCATTTTCCGACACCACCCAGCTGCCGGCTGCGAGCACAGCTGCAGCCTCTCGGCCTGGCCGCGGCGGTGAAGCTGGATGTATGGTTATATTTCAGACTCTGGCTGCTGCCGTGGTTCAGTCTGTGCTTACTGTGGATGTGTCCGGCTGTTGCTATTTGTACCTGCAGCGTTTCTGTGACAGATGTGTTTGTTTATTCAGGAGTTCAGGAATACAGTAGCTTCAACACAACGCTCAGCCAGCAAAAACTGTCAGCGCCGCCGCCTGTAGTCAGAGTTAGAACCTTCAGAAGCGAATGTGTCACAAGTAGCAACAATGGCCACGGCCTCGGCTGCAGTGACAGCTATGTCATCTCAAGGCTGCAGCCGTACAGCGAGAGAGCTGCTGAACCAGCTGCTCTGGTTCTCTGTTTTTATTGCAGTGGTACAGACTAGTATCTGAGCAACCACAGCTGAGGGTGTGACTACTGGCTGTGTGTTAGTCACAGCCAGCAGCGGTCTATAGGCTGCATGACACCGTATCACCTCACAGCTCATACAGTTATACCTACAGAGAGAGTCGATGCATCCTCAGCTGTGTAGTTACAATTACACGTTCATAGTGTGAACACTGACTACTGCTGGCTGTGTGAGTGCAGTGATAGTCGAGCTGGCTGCTCCATAAACACATCTGGCAGACGTATCTATAGCCTCAGCTTCACCGTGCAGTCAGAGCAGCTGCAGCTGTGCTCGCAAACAGCAGCTGGACACTGTCGGCGATTTTAAGATGAATAATGCGCAATAAATGCATCGCGTAAAATCTCACACGTCTCTCCTTTCTGTCGAATCTGCAGCGTTTTCCCTGAGCAGGCTGTGTTTTATAAGCGGGCTGGACCAGCATGCCAACTGTTCATATGGATCAGAGGGAATGTAAAGCATCCTGCAGGGGAACAAGATTGAACAAATATTCTCACCGTGACCCTTTCAGTGCTCCATGAGGTACTTAGATGTAAGTGAGAAAATATGTTTCATTCGCAATGCAGGCGCTTTGCCTTGCTGAGCATAAAGACGGACTGGTTCTCTACAAATCTGGTCTAGCTGCCCCTCTGTAGCATGCACTAATCAATGCATTGTATATTGTTTGTTTAATCAGGATGCACGACTGTAAAAACACCAACTTGTGTTTTTGCGGGGAGTCGTTCACTGAGCTGCACGGATGCTCCAAGACATCTTTCCAGCACCGTAACTCCCTGTCACTGTTTTTACATTTCTTGCTGTGTGCACATTCAGTTAATACAGTCTGCATTATTTAATGGTTATACTCAGTGACGTCTCTTTAAACTTTGGACAGAGTAAAGCTCAGTTTCTAATCTTCATATTAAACTAACTGCCTGCTGGCTCCAGCTTCACACGTACAAAACGACACAAGTGTAACATTGATCAAGTTCAAGTAAATTTTCCAACATGCTGAACTCTTCCTTTTGAGGTTGTAGACACTGTGGACATTTTTGAAAAGATTGAGCATCGCATTGATTTTTCTGCCAGAAAGCAGCAAGAGTGCATACCCAGCAGTCGTCTCTGGGTATGAGCGGCTCCAGGAGGTCTCCTGCCTGAATCTTCTCCCCGCTCCAGGCCTTGAAGCTCACTGCTCTGGGTGAAGGTTGCAGGGAGGGTCCTGCTGCCCACACGGACGTGTTGAGGCAGTGGATGACGACGTGCTGCACAGCCTCCGTGCTCAAGAGGTGGATGAAGTTCATCTGGATGCGGCCCACTCCTATTTCCAGCTGTGAAGCAAGTGGATTTGTGTCAAGCTGTGTCAAGACGATGACAAAACGGCGTGAATGCCTAATGTTGTGTTTACCAGCCTATAGAGGGCCTCATTAGGCTTCATCCGCATTCTGATCATACATAAGGTTTGATTCTTTTGACCATAAATTTTGATGTTCATCCAGAATAACATATTCAGCACAACTGAAAAAAAATTGGCTCAGTCGAATTTTTTTTAATAATTTAGGTCCGTTTTAATGACAGTTCTTTTCACAAACATTCCTGATCAATAGTAATTTAAGAGTTAGTCTATGTAGCAGACGAACATGAACCCAATCAATTTGGAAGTTGATAACAGGTTCGAGTTCTGCAATGAATTTAAATAATATGCATCTGGATCACAGATTGTGCCTTAAGCATGACCAACTATTACAATCATTTCATTTGCGGTTTCTGCAGGAAACGGGTCGGTCCATACTTGTGTCATTGTGCACAATGTGCTGCTTTGTTGAAATATAACTCCAAAACAAAGGAATGAAGGGATGAAGGGCAATCGAAGCTTTAGTTGCCAACTGAGCGCACGTTTGATGGCGACTTGGCCAAGTCTGAAGACCAAATGGGACGCCTTGAGATTCACTGCTAGACTGATCCATCCAAATAAGCGCCAGAGTTTATCATATGGAGCCAGAAAATGAACAGCTGTGCTCCTTTATTTATCGCTTGACTGACATAATGCACACACATGGCTCATCTTAATCTCCGAGCTTTTTCGCTTCTTGAGGAATCCTTATTAAGACAACATGATGGGAAGAGTTTCCACAGAGACATAAACAATTGTGGATGTGATATTCATCCACTGTCTGCACAGTATGCATGTATTTACATTCTGCTGGCTCTTTTTGTCAAGATGAGGTGAATGGGTACAAATGCAGAGCCTAACCTTGGAGACTGTAACCGGTTTCAGGCAGGTCTGTCCTCCGCCGGTGAAGTTGCACGTCACCTCGATGGTGTCGGCAGCGCAGCCGAGGTTTGGATCAATCCAGTAAGTGCCTGTCAAAGAAGACAACCGATGTGATCAACCGAAACGCGGTCCATATGTGCACAGAAATGAGCTGTTTGAAATGCCTCCTCACCATCGTACATCCTCTGCTCGCAGTTGTAAAGGTCTCGGCAGATCCGGGCAGGATTGTCGCGGGTACCCAACGGGTTCTTAAGACTCTGGATCAGAGTGCTGAGATGCTGCAGGGTTTTAAAGATCTCTGTGCCCTGGTCCAGCATGGGCAGGTCCATGCTCTGGTAGTTCTGGTTTGAACACAATTATTGGCATAAGTTTTAGAAGTCTAATTTCTGTTACATTTTCTGAACTTTTGGTCAAAACTTTAGCGTTTTCTGCTACTGCAATGACCTAATTATTGTCAGTGAGGTGCAAGTTCTTCAAGCTTATCCAGAAATGTATATCAAGAATAGGATTAGGACTGACCTCTTGCCTCAGTACAGCATGGGAATCGATAATGACTTGAAAAGCAGCACCAAGAGCTTCATTTCTCTGCCAGAAAAAGACAACAAATCAGTAAGGTAACCATTTTTGTTCACACTTCATTCCAAAACACCCAGTTTAAAAAATCTGGAGAAACATACTTACAAGTAAAAGGGCAGAACTGGGAAGACCCTAGAAATAAACAGGAAAAGAACCTGTATTAACATAAATGTTCTTTTCCCTATTCTGTGTTTTTACCCACACAATGGAGCAGTTGTGTAAATCCTAATCTACACTGTCAGCGGTGATCAATTCCCACCCAATATGCAGATACTCGCAGACGTAGCCATGATTGCTCAGGAAATGAGGCATGAATGCACAGGAAATAAAGCATGTCAAATGCAGAAAAGAAGAGCCTCAAGCTGAAAGCTATTTGTTTTCAATTACAGTGGAAGAGGGGGGAAAAAAAGCAGGTCTAACTAGTTAGATTATCCTCAAAATAACACAATGTGCTCACAGTTAAACCGGCCTGTGGATGCACATGTGTGTATATTTTTCGATTTTCATCTGAAGTACAAGCTGCAACCAATTTTCTTCACAAAAACACATTCATCTGTCTGTAAATTCACCGAGAAACAACAGAAAAAACTGCCATTAGTGTAACCTAATCCTCACTTTCGAACCGCATTATTATAATTATGAAATTGCATTTGTACATTTTGATTTTTTTTTTAATAGGTAGTTGAGTCAAAACTTCGTCTGTTTGCTCTGAGTTTACTATTAGACTGCAAACCCCCTCTTCAGGACCAGACTCAGCAGTCTACCTGCATATAAAGTATAACGGACACTCTTTTGAGAACAGAAATGACCACATTCTGGAAAGAGAAGACATATTTTGAGAGAAGATTGAAGGAAGCCGCCTGTGTTAAACTGGAGTAGCCACTTATCAGGTACTTACAATGCAGTCTTGAGATGAAATGAAATGAAAATAAAATGAAAATGAAATGAAAAATACTTTATTTATCCCAGAAGGGAAATTCAATCTTGTAAAAGCTCACTTTTTAAAAAAAAAAATTCAATATAACATATATTATATACAACAATAATAATCATTCAGTCAGTCGGATTTGTTTTTTAAGGTGATGGCTGTTGGCAGGAAGGATCTGTCACCAGAAAGTTTCACCATCACTAACACCTTGATCACAACCATTCACGCCTCGATTCATGAGTCTCGGGTTCTTAACAAGCCTTTAAAATGTGATTGTGGAGGTGACTATATATATATCTGGGACTGACATACTGTCCTCATCTGAGAATCAACGACTGTAATTCACCTGCACGTTGCTGGAAAATGTGATTTTTTTTTTTACGCAAGTCTCGACTGAATTAGTAAAAATAAAAATGTCTTTTTTAAATATCTGTAAAATATACAAAAACTCACCGGTGGTCCAGGTGGTCCACGAGGGCCAGGAAATCCCTGGAAAAAAAAAAACAACCATCCCCACATTAGGTTTCAAATTATTTATAACTTGGCCTTGATAAAAGATGATATAGTTCCTTCATTTGTTCTCACACTGTGCAGAGAATAATGATGAAGCTACAGAGGTGAATAATTACTCACTCTTGGTCCTTGCAACCCCTGTTGGAGATGAGAGAAAATGGAACTTAATATTAATAAGTAGACAATCCCACAATTATAAAAATGAAAGCAGAGCAGATACTTCCACGTGATCACGGACAGCATAATGGCATCTTTGTGCTGCCAATCCAACATATGGTCTTTATCTACCGTATTGTGTATTTCTATTGAATTTCCCTCCTGCTCCTTTGCAAGCCTACACTCAGAAATCTTATTTCCACACAGCAAATCCTATTTTCACACGGCAAAGCCCCATACATGAATGTTGGCGTTTTTCAAGAGTGAGGTTGTGAATTATGCCTGTGTACGAGCACTCAACAAACCTCTTAAAAAGCTTGAGATGAGCAAGCAGCCAACATTTATCACACTGACAGGATTTCCACAGCAGCTAAGTGTCACTGTGAGTGTAACAACAAACAGCGGAACACAATAGGAAATGAAAAGTGCTGGGGGCAAAAGGAGGCTGAGTGCTGTGCTGTCTCCATACTAAGTATCCTATTCTGTGCTCACAGTACAGACAGAAAAGGATTCATCAAAACAGCGCCACGCACCGTCTCCCCCCGACTTCCTTTGTCACCCTGGGGTCCCTGATGGAGAAAAAGAAGACAGAGGATCACTCCATCACTGCCAAAAAAGCACAGAGAAGTCACATAAAGCTTGGCAGATAGGATGAGATATGAGGTACATACAGGATGACCGCTGGGGCCAATGATGCCAACGGGGCCCAGAGCTCCCTCCATACCCTGGAAAGCAGAGGCGTGTTAGCGACCGAGGACACATATGATGGAGCATCTGATGAAGCAGTGCTTTATTTTTCATGCCAAGTGTGCAGTTTGTGAGCGCTGAGTGAACTGGCACCGGCTGAAATAGTGCGCCGAGTTGCCAAACTGCCATTAATCTTCATCTTACCATCAAACCTCGCGGTCCTTTTGGTCCCTGGATCCCTGCTGGGCCAATGTCTCCTGGAGGTCCCTGGAAACACACAAACATTTCACAGTTTTTTTAAAAAACAGAGGGTAAGAAATGGCAACGTAAAGGTTAAACTAGTAATAAGTAATCAATGACCTTTGCTGATGGCACTGAGTAGGATCTGTTACACTGACAGTCTCTGCGGTGGGGAAGTGGAAACCACCGGCGTAAAATGCTAAAGTGGCTGCAGGAGTGTCTTTAGTTGCAGTTCATTAGGTGGCAAATCTAAGAAAACTTCAAGTCCCAGTCCCATAACACATATAAATTACATACGCGTACTTTGCACTGACACAGCAAGTCATTTTATACTAACAAGAAATAATACGAGACCGTGAACCCACAAAGAGAAGTGCTTCTAAAAATGCTTCTCCTTTATCTCACTGCTTGCACTTTATTTCAATGGATTGCTGCTGTAAATTCGTATTATAATATAATATGTGCATCTAACACGCAAAAAAGTCAGACGGCTTAAGAAAATGTGTCAAATTATGTCACCTCACGAGAACACACTTTCGGTATCGCACCTACTCGGAATTAATACAGAGTAAAGTTGTGCTTGAAACAAACATCTTTCCTTGTGACTGGAGCTGTCAGTGTCGGTTTATCTTTTTGTTATTATTATGTGTTATTGATTTAGTGCGTGAAATGTAAAAAAAACAACAAAACAAAACAAAACCTGTGTAGTAATTGCAATTTTTTTAGAGTCTGAAATCCAAATGTAACAACACAGAAATGTTCTGTGGAAAATCTTCACGTATTAAAAGCTACAGCTACATTTACACAAACATTTCCTGCTTAACGGCACATATGCAATCCACCCTGAAGTCGCTGTAAAATTATGTGGTTTGCCACAATAGCACCACAACAAAAACACAAAACGACATAGTATAACGAACTCAATCTCTCCTCTTATTCAGAATCGTGTCAGTATTGTTGACATCACTGTTTGTTACAGAGGCTTTATTTCTGTACCAGTTGGAACGACTCTGCTGAACATTGACACAAAGCGTATCTGTGTCACACTCCTGTTGAACTTCCCCTCGTAGGAAAACGTCCAACATCACTCTTCAAGTTTTAAATTAAGGTGTCAGGCTCTAATAAAAGCCGCTCTGTTTCTTCAACTGGCGATGATCTGTAGTGCAGTCGTGCTGTAGACTTTTGGTTTAGCCGATGTCATCCTGGGGCATGTTACGGTAATACCGAACAGCCTTCATATCTAATCTTACCAGAGACAACACACTGTTACGTAACTCCTGACGATATCAGGCTTTTAAACTCTGCAAAAAGTACTTCAGCCACAAGGTGAGTTAAACACGCAAATTAATTCTGCAGTAATTTTATTGTCTCATATCTTAATCCTGGACTAAGGGTTAAGGACTTTTCTGATACTGGAAAGCTCAGGTGTGATTGGCTGGAAAAGGGCTGCCACTAATGACTATTTACATATCAATGAATCCAACTGTTCACTTCTATTCTCATTTTGTCATCGTATAACACAGCACAGTCCAAAACGTTAACAAAGGTTCACATATTCAAGTGTAAAACTAAGTTTAACTAGGAACTCCAACATGATACAAATCAATAACAAAAACAGGACTTGTTTTTCAGATCTCCAAAGAAATCCCAAAAAAAATCCACATTTCTATTAAACCCCTTAACAAAGTGAAAAAGTGCAGACCAGCGAGGCAACTTCTCTGCTTGTTGTGTAATTTGCTGTCTGACTTTAGTATGAGCTCTTCGTTTTAGGAAAATATTACAAAATGCCGCTGTCTTTAACTTCTGCACATGGTGGGTTTGACAAACAATCTTGTGGGTATAAAATCAGGATTTCAGTGGTTGCAGAGCAGCAACTTGGAATGGACTTCTGGTTAAAATGCGGTCTTAACAAGCTGCACTTCAGTCAATATCTCCTACTTGGTCTATCAGCAGACAACAGAAACTGGAAAATATGTCAAAGAAAACAGCTTTATAGGGAGTTTGAATATTAAAATACTGTATATGTGAGCACAGAGAATAGGAGAGAAGCAAACAGATGTAAAGTGTTGCTGTGTTTTCTCTTTAGGTGTTCGTGCTGCTGTGGTTTGAAACTCTCCAAGTTTGCAAACCACCTTTCAGTTCTGTGTTAATCTGAAATGGTCCTATATCCCCAAAGTCTTGGGTCTTTGGAAACGTACCCAAGTTGGATTCGTCAAACCCACCATTGTCCAAAACTGTAGCACTGATTGCATCTGACCAAAAACCACTGATGTCTTGACAAAATAAAATTAAAAACATGCATTACTAAACGTAGTGAGCTCCAATGACTACATCGACTGTTTGTCGACTGATTGGACGCCATCATTTTCATCGTGAATGAAAACTGTATAGGAGCTTACCTTTGGTCCAAACAGACCCAACACCCCCGGAAATCCTTGTTCACCAGTATCCCCCTGTCAAACAAAGAGAATCTTCATCATCACTACACAATCAAACGACACTGTCATGTAAAGGAACCTGAGAGTTTGGAAAAAATCAGTGCTCACCAGTTGCCCTTTAGCTCCCTGATCTCCTTGTTTTCCAGGCAATCCCATCCCGCCAATGGAGCCTCTCTTCCCTGCTGGACCAGTTTGGCCTGGCAGACCTCTCTCGCCCTGAAGATGAGACACAAACACATGAAAGTCCTCCTCAGATCCACCCTGCAGCCTCCAAACAGACACCTAGACAAACCAGCAGACTTCCTGCTGCTGCTAGTTCATGATCCTTCGCTGCTAGTTGAATTCGCGTGGCACCGATCAAGCAGGAAGCTTTAAGAATTTGACCTAAAGCTCAGCAGATGCTATTTCCTCTACATCACTCCGGATGCCCCTTAGCATTGATTTTAAATAAAAGCAGGACAATCAAACTACAATTCCTCTCATGCAAACTGTCCAAAAGTTTATGTATAAATCACCAAATACGACCAAATCTGAATGCATCAGGCGGTGAGGTGAACGCTGCCTAATACAACACATCCAGTCAATAAAGCCTCTCTGTGTTTGTCACAGTCCTGCATATTTGCATTTTATATAACATTGGCAAGGCCACATACAGACTGTGCCAACTCATTAATATTTCGCAACACTAACTTCACAGAATTGACAGGAGGTCTTGTGAGAGATGTTATAAAGACTTTATGCAGAGTTTGGCCTTTGAAATCAGAGACGGCTCCAACATAAAGGCAGCATTACGGTGCCAAGGGAGTCAGTTCCAGCAGATTAAACCTCCTTGGCAATTATGAACAATATCAGCACAAAATTAGCCCGCATCGTGATCTATGAAAACACTTGCGCTATAACTTAACCTTAAGTTCTTTGACTCTTAGTGGTCAAAATTGAAGGAAAAAAACTGCACAAATTGTTCATCCCGACGTTCTCACCTTTGGACCAAAGTAGCCTTGACTTCCAGGAAGCCCCGTCACGCCATTTTTACCCCGTTGGCCAGGTTTTCCGAGTAAACCCACATCTCCATCTTCTCCTTGCTCCCCCTGATAACACAAGACAACCAATGAGCTACAAGTTTATTCCTAATTTAGTACAATATGCACTATTGCCAGTGTCTTCACCTTGAGTCCTTTGCTTCCATCTTTACCAGGTAGACCGTCCATTCCAGGTGGACCCTCAAGTCCCTCCCTGCCCACAACCCCACGTGGGCCAGGAGGACCCTCTGGACCCTTAGAAAAGACAATTTGTGTCAATGCTTGCTTTGGTTTTAAATAGTAATCTCACTGTGAGGGGGGCTTGATTGTATAGTAAGACAAGAAATCCATCCAACTCACTGGTGGTCCTTTGCTCCCGGATGCACCTGTTGGCCCTGATTTTCCTTTCTGACCCTGAAGCATAAAGAGTTCATGTTCTACAGTTCTGACACGGTGCCACGACAGAGAATAACACATGCATGAAGAAAGTTTCATTCACGGAGAAACATGCGACTATTTATTCATGTCCTTACTTGATCACCTTTGGATCCTCTCAGCCCAGCTTGTCCCTTTGGCCCAGGATGTCCCTGAAAAGATTGTTACTGTCTGATTTGACGATCGCTCATTTTTTGTACGGCACCGTGCATTTGCGCAGCTGAATTTTACATTTTAGGAGATAAAAAGGAGATGCTTACAGGAAGCCCCGGGGCTCCAGCTTCACCTCTGGCTCCATCCACACCCATTTGACCCTGAAACAATTTCATTTGCTGCATCACGGCATCACTTTAACTCAATTTATGGCTAATGCGAAAACAAGAACTTGTATTTTCCCCCCACTTACGATGTATCCGAGGTCACCAGGCTCTCCTCTCTCTCCTCTGTCTCCAGGTGGACCCTGGGCGTCCACGTGGGAAGACGGTAATGAAACAAACAATCCAGAACACCACTAACAAACAGCGCGTGAAAACATTAGTACTCATAAGAAACTCACTCTGTCACCTTGGGGACCCGGAGGACCTTCTACCTTGCCGTCGTCTCCCTGTTCACCCTAAAACAGGCAGCGAACAAACAACCACAATCAATGAAATTTTCCTCAAATTCAATGGTGTGTGCAAAATCAATGCATGTTTTGTTGGGAACACATGGCGCGCTCTCTTTATATGAATGGCGAATCATTACATGCGCTATTACCTGCAATGATCCATCTCACATAAACAGAGCCAGTTTGTTTCAGGGTCTTTATGGGATTCATTAAACAATGGCCACGGATGTGCATGTAATTTTATTAGCGATGTGCCGCGCATGTGTGAAATGAAATAAATAAACGAGGAGCCACGACATGTGAATTCAAAAGTAGAAAAAAAATAATTAGCCATGGCCAGGAGCCAAGGAAAACGAACAATTGCATGGATGGAAAACAATGCGCCGCAGCACTGGTGATTAAAGCATAGCTGTGATACACATCCGCGCTTATCTGCAGCATGTTTTAGCGCTTGCTTCTCTTTCAATTGACTGTCATAAATTTTGCAATGACCCGTGTGATAGCATGATATTGATTTAACTGGAGAGCGAGCACAACCATTATATCGAGAATATTGGCGAGAAGAGAAAATAACAAATATCCACATCCAGATGGCTTCTGCCCAGGGACTAAAAAAATGCAAATTAGTGTCTCTCTAAACTCCGGTGCAGTGTGTGTGTGTGTGTGTGTGTGTTATATTGTGTGCCGCTTCTGTCAAATAAACACAAATTATGCGGCTAATCTCTCCAAAATCACGAGCAGAAGTGTCCAGGTGCTTGGCTAATTGCATACATTTGATGGCACTGAGTTAATTGGGTGTGTCCTGGTTCATATCATTGATCAAATTAGGGATGACTTTGGGAATATTGCAAGGACAACAAGACAGACAAAAGAAGCACTAATTAGGAACACAACTGAAGTCCCAGCGCATCAGAAAAAAAAAAAGGAAATAACTGACCACGCAAAAGACAATGTGCTACATGGCAGTTTTACATTGTTATGTAACTGTTACCCAGAACTCATTAGACGCAATCAAAGTGCAGATGGCTATTAGGGACAGCAAATAACAGTGTGGAATGTACCTTTTCACCTTTTGACCCCGGAGGTCCCAGCGGGCCCAGTGGTCCCATGTGACCCTGTGACAAGAAAAAGACTGACTGAATCTCATTTCAGGGCTGCAGCCTCCCAGGTTTCACTCACTGTAATGAGCAGAACAACATGGAAGCAGGAAAGAAACAGAGTGCAACAGTGTCGTCGATCATCACTTCATCTTCTTTCACCACAGAAAACGCAGTTTTCAAACTCATCAGTCAAGCTGTGGTTATTCTGTATGTGTCAACAATCTCATTATACTGCCGCCTTGAATCTGCGAGGATCGATTTCTTCCTCCCACTCTTAACTTAAATCTGTTATGTCAGGGCCAGACTAGAAATGCTGCAATTTCACATTTTTTTTGTATATAAAATTAAAAAAGTAAAGAAAGAGTCTCCATTTCACCTCAATCTTTTTAGCAGCAAATATAAAGCACCTGCTTTATTGGTATGTTAGATAGAGGAGAGGTACATTTAGGTGCCTCACCCACAGACCTTGGCTTCTTTTTGCTATTTAGTTTTTTTATCTGCTTTGAAAGATGCGTCTTTGTTTGGCCTCCAACATAACAAAGTCGTCTCGGTGCGTTTGGTTGCTTTGTTCCCTACACTGGTCAGCTTTAAGCAAAAGAAAAAAAAAAATGAAAGTGCATAAAGTTTTGCTAAGATACAAAATGCCAATGCTGCTAACCGTGATAAGTAGCCATGTTTTAGTCTGGTTTATATGTTTAAATAGTAAAGAATCAAAAGAAAACAAAGTTAAGTCATCCATGAACAGCTGACGTGGAAGAGAGTAATTTGACCTGAACTCCATAAAAATAAGGTCAACCGAACCAACACAAGGAGCTGTGAACACATCTGGGTCCAAGCAAGGATTCCCAAAAGTAAAGTGAAACGGAAGCACAAAACTCCAGAGCAACTAGGCTCACCACCTCCAACCAGGTTGCAGATTTAATTCACGTCTATGGAGAATAAACTTTCGACTTTTGGGACATGAAAAGTAATTGTTTAATCCTATTAGATCAGGGGTGTC